CGGCTTCTTGATCGGGGTCACCCACCTTTTTGCTTCTAAGGTTGAAAAATGAGTACTAAGTGGGAAGAAAGCAGGAGACTAAATGCTGTGCTTATCACACAGCTGTGGGCGGCTGCGTTTAATGACTTATTTCTGGCTGAAGGCATGGAAATGGAGATATGCGCTCCACCGTTAATTTCATGAAAAGATGGGCGGCAGAAATGGTTTCATCCTGGAAGTGTCAGAAAGTCGACATTCCAATGTTTGTCTGCTTCCTTCCTTCTCCTTTTTGTCATAACATTCTACCCATTTTTTCCTCTGCTACGAAACAAGCATATTTTTTGACAATTTTTGATCTTGTATGAATTTATTATGTTTATTTATTTAGTTACGTTGCGCTTAATACTCTTCTACGTACGGTCAGCGTTGATATTAGTGCGGTCCAGCGACATCGGACAACGGTAGTCGACTGCTTAAAGGATCCTGATATCTCCATTAAAAAGTAATATTTGTCGTTAATGCTGTTTGAACAATAACCATGAATTTGTACCATTGCAGAAGAGCGATCGAACTGTGTTTCGCACTTATAAATGCGACCAATATCCGAAGCATGTCTAAAGAGATATTGATTTTCATGGAAACGGCTGAGCCGGAGTTCAAATCGATTTGCTCATCGAATATGTACATCGCAACCGAGAGGTACTCTTTCAGAGTTGGGTACTTTCTACTTTAAGACTTTTCTTCCTGTTTGTTAGGTACTCGCCTGACAGGCGTTGGCATTTTGACACGATGGTTAAAGTCATGAAAGCAGTAAGAGCTGTTTGTGTCTAATTGCAAGTAGTATTTCATAATTAATAATGGGTGATAATTCTCTTGTTCGACTTGATCATTGATGCTCTCTAACTTCCGAAGCACTGCCGGAGCTCTAATTCCATGGAATCATGACGTGATTTAATGCCTTTCTGGATGACTGAATGTGAGGAGGTCTCGTGCTAACTCTGAGAAATTCCGGTATCATAAACTGAAATGAGAAATATGATTATCGACTAAATTTGAAAACTGCTCTGTGGTAGTTGCACCAAAACATCTGAGCTGTGTTTTCTCTCTTATCTATAATTGATGAGAAACATTAGTAGTTCCGATTTTCATGGATGATAAAGCAATAAGCATATTAAAACGTATGTCAACGTAAGTGTCTGTGTGTATGTATGTCTATGCGTGTGATCTTCATCTTGAGCCGTTTGCATATGCAGAACGTCGCTAGTTTGAGTTTCCGTTATAGTAATAGTTTTACAATACTGCT